GGCATTCAAGGCAAGAAGTGGTTTGCCATTGCCTGCCTCTGCATAGCGACCTTGGTCTTCCTGGGTGGTCTCCCATCCAAACACTGACCAGGGTTGATCCTGCTTATCTTCCAAGGTCTGACGAGTCTGGGCCATCCAGGTCAAGGAAAGAGACAAACACAGGTGGTTTGCCATTGCCTGCCTCTGCTCAGTGACCTTGGACGTCCTTGGGGGTCCCCCATCCAAGCTAACCAGGGTCTACCCCTCTTAGCTTCCAAGAGATTACAAGATTGGGCTAGCTAGCCTGGGCTACCCAGGTCAGAGCATACTGGGGGCTATTTAGGTCCTGAAGCATCCACATATAATGAGGCTCAGTAACAACCTGTGTGAGCTGACACACTCAAGCTAAGATCTCCTCTTACATGTATCAACACTCACTCCTAACATCTAAGAACATAAGAACAAGTGGGGCCAGGACACTAGAAGCCCCTCCCACTGTTGCTCCCCCCCCCCAGCCCCAAGAATACAGCCCGAGAGTTCCTGACCATCCCTTGTGCCCCTGTCCATCCCTTGTGGCTAATAGCCACTGATGGACCTCTGCTCCATATGTTTATCCAATTCCCACTTGAAGCTGTCCATGCTTGTAGCTGCCGCCACCTCCTGTAGCAGTGTTAATCACTCTTTGGGTGAAGAAGGACTTCCTTTTATCTGTTCTAACCTGACTACTCAGCAATTTCATTGAGTGCCCATGAGTTCTTGTATTGTGAGACTTCTGCTCAATCTAGCTTTTCTGCTGTAAACCAACATACAAGACACATACCCAGAGTGGTAAGAGTTAACTATCAATCTGTAACTGACTGTGAACAGTCAGTGGAAACCACCCACAACCTTTGGCCCAGCCAAGAGCTAACTATCTTAGGCCTGAGCTGAACAGCAGTGAATGAACAAAGTTTGAGTCCACTGGCACCTTTAAGACCAACAAAGCCTTCGACAACATAAGGTTTTATTCCTTTGTTCTGCTGCTTCAGACCAACATGGCTACCCACCTGAATCTAAGTAATGAATGAAGAGAGATCAAGATTGGTAGCCCTGTTAAGTCTGTCTGTAGCGGTAGAAAAGAGCAAGAGTCCCGGAGTACCTGAAAGACTAACCAGATTTGTGGCGGGGGAGGAGCTTTAGTGAGTCACTGCTGTATCTGAAGAAGTGAGCAGTGACTCACAAAAGCTCTTAACGCTGCCACAAATTTTGTTAGACTTTAAGGCGCTACTGGACTCTTGCTCTTTTCTGCTAGTAAAGAGACCCGTGTCACTTTCACGAGTAACCAGTTGCTGCAGCAGCACAGGTTTCTGCAGCATCCCACACTTTCACGGTTAACTCAGTGCATCTGATGAAGGAAGCGGTTGCTGATGGAAGGCCTCCTGGAAATAAATTAGTCGGTTTCCGAGATGCCACAAGATGTTTTGTCTTCTCGGCAGCAATTGAGATGCAGGCTGCCTTGCTCTAAAACAATTGTCTAAAGGGAAAAAAAATCCCCTTTCTGAAGGATGTGTTTTTGCATCTGACACCCTGTCGCTGAACCTGACAGGCTTCGTCTCCCTGTTGCTCAGCTACACCAGATGACCCGTCAGGAGACACCAGCTTTGTCCAGGAGCCACATTACAGTCTGCCAGGGCTCTAGTCGGGGGGGAGCTCTCAGGTACGGAGCTCCGGAAGAGAACCTCTAGGGGGCGGGGCGGTCACGTGGTGAAGCCCCGCCCCCTTCTTTACCCCGCCCTCTGCTTCGATCCTCATTCCGTTTGGGAATGAGGATGAAGCAGGAGGGTAAGTAGCCGGGCCTTCTGACACACTTCCGGTGATGTCAGGGGGTGTGGCCTTCTGTCACTTCCGGTGATGTCAGGGGGCGTGGCATATGCAAATAAGTTATGCTAATGAGCTCCGGCAGCTCTTTTTCTACAACAAGACCCCTGCAGTCTGCTCATCAGGAGGAAGCTCTGACTTGGGGGAGTGGGTAATCCCTGGCCTCCCTTTGGCTACAGCAGCCTCTCATCTTCAGCTAAAGGAACTGCCGGGCAACAAAGAGCTCTTGCAGAGATTCGCAGCTCTCCTGAGAAACAAGACAAAGGGGCTGACCTTTTAAATCAAACCACTGGCAAGCGCATTCAGCGTGGCTCCATAGAGATGGGCACAGAAAAGGCACGATCGTGTGTAATGGAGAGCATCTGCTCCCTCTAAGCGCAGGATGCAACCCAGAATTCCATCATTTCGATGATTAAAAAAAGATCCTAGACCGCAGTTTAATTAGAGAGCCGATAGAGTAGCTAAGAGATTGAGCTGTGAATCAAGGAACCTCCACCGAAGGCTAAGGAGTAAACTTGGCGGTCACTGGAGAAGAAAAGAGGTGCTCATGGGGATTAGTAAAGGTAAAGGTTCCCTTGCTCGAAAGCCAGTCGAATCTGACTCTAGGGTTGCGGTGCTCATCTCCGTTTCAAAGCCGAAGAGCCAGCGCTGTCCGAAGACGTTTCCGTGGTCATGTGGCCGGCATGACTAAACACCAAGGCACATGGAACGCTGTTACCTTCCCACTGAAGTGGTACCTATTTATCTACTTGCAATTTCTTGCTTTCGAACTGCTAGGTTGGCAGGAGCTGGAACTAGAGACAGGAGCTCACTCTGTCATGCGGCACCCGGGTCTTGAACTGCTGAACTACCGACCTTCCACAGCCTGCAGTTCAGCGTCTTAAACACTTGAGCCATGAAACAAAGAGTGGGAAAGGCTGTGGGGGTGTAGTGGATAGAATGTCAGAGTGGGATCTGGGAGACTCAGGTTCGAATCTCTGCTCTGGCATGGAAGACTTAACGTATCTCATAGCAGTGGAAAAGAGCAAGAGTCCAGTAGCACCTTAAAGACTAACAAAATTTGTGGCAGGGTATGAGCTTTCATGAGTCACTGCTCATTTCTTCAGATACAGCTAGAGTGTGAGTCCATCTGTCCTATATACTGGAAAGTAGAGTGATTTCAGTTGCCAAATGACATTAGCAGGCAAAAGACAATAGCAGGTGTGATTGGATTAGGTGAGATATGCAGAGAGGTAGTAGGCATGGAGAAATCAGCATTGGTAAAGAGAAAGGAAACCTAGGTCTCGATTCAATCCAGGTGGATGCATTGTCTTAAGCTTTGTTATCAGTTGCAATTCAGCAGTCTCTCTTTCTCATCTCACTTTGAAATTCCTTTGTAAGATAACTGCTACTTTTAGGTCAGCAACTGAATGTCCTGGAAGGTTAAAACATTCCCCCACTGGTTTTTGAATGTTGTGTTTTCTGATGTCAGATGTATGTCCATTAATTCTTTGAAATTAATTAATGGACTTATGTCCATTAATTCTTTGCTGTACAGGCAAAGGCAGACTAGAAATATATTTTAACTTTAAAAAAAACCCCAGTGGAGAAACATTTTAACCATTTTAACTTTCCAGGACATATTTCCAAGCTGACTATTTCAAACAAGGGATCACTATGACAAGTCTCATTTTAAATACCTCTACTATTTAAGCTGTGATAACTGCTGCTAACTAGGAATATTCCTAACCTTCCAACCCCAAAGGAAGACGTTTTCATCAGTCTTTAAAAAAGAGCCCCAAAGAGGACAGACACCAAAAAAGACATGTCATTTAAAAGGAGGTCATCTAGTAATCCTAGTATTTTTACAACCACATATAAAAATATATCGGGAATGCTTCCGCAAGTTAGGATGGGCAAGAAATGCTGGGAGTCTTTTGAGAGAGAAGCAAGCAGGAAAAAGGGCTGTCTCTACAGCCTTTTCTCTTTTTAGTCTTTTATTCCAGTACAGAGGTCACAACACCAGTGACCATTCCATAGAACCATAAACACAAAGAAGCACAAATGAAAAAAAGCAATTATATCAAATTAGCCATACACACACACATCTTTCTATATGAGATTTTAAAGCGGTATACAAGAAAATGTGAAATATAACGGTATTTACAAAATACCATAGAGGTATACAAATACATCAAAGCCAGTCACAAGACCCCAGTAGCTTCCCTGTTTCAAGCTAGAAACTCTTTTTCAGGCCTTCTCCTTGAAAACCCTGGAGATATCATTAATATTTCTACATCACTTCTTGCTTGATAACCCCAAAAAACAAACTACTGTTGTGCAGACAAGGTGCAAGAAACAAGTGGATCATCACTTGGGAAATGTACAATAGGTTGCTGCATTGTTCGGTACAAATAACTGTACATTGGTATTTATCCTCCATCAGGAAGAAGACAGTTGGACTCTTCATGTTATATAACTTAGTTTGAAAGTGTTTGAAATGCGATGTTGTAGTTTGAAAGTGTTTACAATACACTAGAGTTGATGTTGTGTATAATAAGCAAATATATTTAGCTATAAGTCCGTGTGAATATTGTGTTTATTATTTCAGCACAGTGTTTTCTGGGTTTATCTAATCTCCAGACAAGGCCTGGAGATCTCCCAGAATGACAACTGACTACAGAGCTCATTTCCCCTGAAGGAAATGGCTGCTTTGAAGGGTGGACTCAGGGGCGTTATTTTAGTTATTTTTTTTATTTATTATACTCTGCTGAAGTCCTTCCCCCTCCCCAGGCTCTACCTCCAAATCTTCACCCAACCCAGACTTGGCAACCTTTGCAAAAACATTTGATCAAAAGAATCCGGGTGCCTGTTCAGCCAGAACCTCAAAGGCAAGCGCTGATTTCAATGTGCAAAACCAAGAAGTCAAAGCTGGTCAGTTTCTTTAACAGCTCTGACTTTCGACTTCATTCGTGGTTCCATCCATTTTTATAGGGCCTGCTTACGAAGAGCTGAAGTCGCCTTTCATCCTCACAACAATCCCGTGAGGCAGGCCAGACTCAGAGCGCGACTGGCCCAGGGCGATCCAGGGAGTTTCGCGTGGGGGATTTTAATCCCCATATCCTCGGCTAAACACTACTGCGCACCGACCATGTTTTTTGCAGCTCCCTCCCTCCCCTCCGTACCTGGCCCTGGTGGTCGACATAGTAGAAGTACTCGCGGGTGCGGGGCGAGGGGCTCTGGCCCTGCTGGTAGAGGGGCCGGTCGGGCCCACGGCACAGCCCCGGCCGCAGCAGGAAGCCGAGCCCGCCTCTCAGCAGCCGCATCCCGGTCTGGGCCTTGGGCGACACGAGCGAGCGGAGCCGTATTGGGTTCGAGGCCTACAGCAACGGGAGGCTCTATGGGGGACCGGTGCAGCGACGGACCAACTCCCCCCCGGCCCCTGAGCCCGCCAAGAAAGGTTCCGTTGCGGAGGGGAGGGGGATAGAGATGCACCAAATACATTCAAGCTACTTTCCTTGCATAGTGGCCCCTCCCCGCAGCACACACTGAGTGCAAAACAGGTCTTCCGGCCAGGTCGGCCCCGCCCCCATCGGATGCCTCTTTCTTGCCCTGTCCGTCCCTCTCAATACTCCCATTCCTGTTCCCAAGGGGTTGCAACACTTTCTCTCCATTTCAGGACTTGTGTGCTTCCTGCCTCCAGTTCTGGTTGCTGCTGCCTTTATCAGTAATTGTTCAGTTTGCTCTTGTGGGGCTTTCACAGGCAGCCACGAGGCGGGTGAGACTTTTCCAGGCACTGGGGTGGGAACTGATGCTCAGCTTTCTGCTTCAGGTTGTTTTCTTGCCTGCTTAAAAAGTTCAAGTTAGAGAGAGATTTGCAGCCGGCTCCTATCCATGGGGTCGCGAAGAGTCGGACTCGACTGTGCGACTGAACAACAACCTATGCATGGTCTTGAGAGACCCTTGGGTGGCAGGA